CGAAACGACACAGCCCGACCTATATAGAAGAAAGTCCACGTGTCCGGCTTTTTTTCGACACATCGCACAAACCATCGAGCTCAATTCGCCTGATTTAAGTTTATGCTGTGTTCCTCGTGGAAAATACGCGCGATGTGTGGGATGATTTGCAAACTTATCTCCCTGTGAATCAAAATTTCGATCCAGTTTGCTTTTCCTGCTTTTAGATGTTAGTGTCGCTAATGATTCATAACAATTTGATACCTTATGTTGGTAACAGTTTAAGTTGCAAGGTTTGAATTCAAGATTTCGGTTTTTTAAATATGAACAATCTGAATACTCGAAAAAGATGCCGGGACGTGTTTGAAAAGATACGTTCAAGATACAATAGTAGCAAATTTAAAAAAAGAGAGAGATAAATTTTAAAAAATTGGTTTTATTCGAGTTATAACTTTCTGTATTTGTCCAACAGGTTAACAACTGTAACACATGTCACTTAGGGGCAAGTTACTCAAGCTTCATCAGTTGTGCATCTAAAAACGTGTGATTTTTAGATTTTTCTTGGATCACATCTTAGTTTAACCAATTTAGATTAGGACAAATTTTATGAAATGTGGACGTATTAACCAAATTGGTATCGTATTCATATTTTAAAGCCGAAGAGATCATCATTATTTTGCTGTTGCTTCTGTTTATATAGGGAAAACTCTAATACCGAGCAGACGTCACTTTAAAGGAAGAAGACAAATTTACTGATATTCTGTATGCCGGAAATTACTTGGTAAATAACGCCAGACCTTTATTAGAAACGCGTTCGTGGAATAGTACTGATATAAGATTTTCTGACTTTCTTTTTTTGGGGCTTAGTATCGATAACATATTTCCTTTTTTTATTATTTATTCAGATTTGTTGCCAAAATTGCATACATATCACTGCCTTAAAATGGGAAAAGATTTCATGAACCCAAACCTACACAATAGAATCTTCTGATCCAGTAAGAAGTTGTTTAATAACAGATTGAGAGACGAAACTTACCTCAGGAGAGTCAACTAACTAAACATTACTGTCTGTACCAATAAAGTAAATGACACCATTTTTTTTTAAACTGAGCATAACAGGGACCTACGAAATTGGACAAAATTTTCAAAACGCCTTAGTTGTTAGTAAAGTATCTATTCCTTGGTATTGTCCTCCCAGTTTTTTTTTCTTACAAATCAAACGACAAGCAAGCATGATATTAGAGAAATATAGAGTTACACCTCGGCAGTGGCAAGCAAATTCTGCCATATATTTACAATGAATTGTATGAATTTGACATGGTTCAGTTAATGCTTCGCATGTATTTTCGTCGTGAATGTTCGAAGCACGTTTAACAATTTCAAATCTGTCATTGAGAAAACAACAGATTCATTTTTTATTAGTTAGGTCGCCCTATAGATGTGCCTTTACACCATATCTTATTTCCTAAAATTAATGACAAGATAGAGAACACAAACAGACAAGCGGTGATAACTTTGTTTGACACATTCACATTGTTCTAGCAAAAAAGGTGAATAATGTACGCCTTTACAGAGCAAATACACAAAAAACACAGGATGGAAGTAACTGAATTGACGATGTGACCGACGATAAGCAACAAATGGCTGCCGTTTCATCGCCTTAGTATATTAAAGAAGGGCGAGTGACAACTTGAATACAACAGCACGACTACCATCCACAATAGCTGGAAAAAGTGCGAGTCAGGAAAGTCCAAGATTAAGTGAGTTAGACATCCCTGTTTTAGATACGAAAAGATGAGTATCATAAGATCAATGATAGCTGTACTCTATAAATAACAAGGTGGAGAACTATCAAAGGGTACGGCATAAATTTCCCTCCATTCTCCGTATTTTAGTGCTCAGTATTTCAGGAACAAAAGTCAAGCTGAGAGGGCGAATGCTGCTTTACATGTACTTCTAGAAAAATAACATCTTCGTTATGATTGCTCCACATTCAAAGAGCCTTTTTAGGGTAAAATCATTAAATTATTTCAGTATAACTTATTAAGACTAGAAATATGATTTTTTTCCTTTAGAACTTTATAATGAAGAATCGTAGTTTCCTTCTGGTCGTAACCATGGTTGTTCTTGTTCTTGCCATCGCTGTTGAAGAAGTCCAACTTGTTTCGAATCATGGAAGGAGGTTTGGTCGCTCGCTGAAGAAAAAACACACTCTTAGAAACAAGTTCGAACGCCAAGAGAAATTAAACTCGTCACCTCTAATTCAAAATGGATACCAAGACGGAAATCCGTTTCATGAATATCCGCTGGTAGCCAGAGAAGAGCAGGTTGGTTGACATAAGGCTGGTCAAAAGCCCCTGTCAACTGCAAATTGCGTAGATGACAGAAAAAAAAATCAGTCGAAAATCCCTCTAAGGGAAAGAAGAGTTAAGCATCACAATAAAACTTTCATCAATTTCTTGTCTTTTGCTTAAGTAGACTGAACGGTTAAACAGCTTATTTGAATTTGAGAAAAAGAGAAAAAGTAGCCGTTTAGTGAATTTTGTTTCGTTTTATTTATGGGTGCGAAAATTGTTGTGTACTACCTGAGGCAAAGCTCGTGACTCTTAATGCTTCAAGTTACTTTATGCAAAACATTTACCATCGATAGGTAATTATGGCAATGAACTAAAAATGTCAGATTCTATTAGTTTCTTGCTCAATTAATTTACTGCCATCAACAATTTTGACTCAGAAGACTAGATACATTTCCACTGCTGAAGGAGCATATGGAAGAATTTCATATCTTCTCCTGATGGGTCATTGATCATATATACGAAGAGGATTGTTGCTCGTTGGAAACTGGATTAAAGATATCATTGCTATACCAGCTCATTTTTCTCTTAACCGATATATTGTTCTCATCTGTTTGACTTTTTTATCGCAGGATTTTTAAGAGGAGTGACTAAAGGAAGAAATAGACCGCGGAATTTATCTTAAATTGTAAATGAGCGCTAACTCGCTCGCACTCTACAATGTGAACTTAATGATGAAGGTGAAAATAAAGCTCTGGCAAAAGAAGACGTCTTTGTGAAGAAGTTTTGTTTCAAAGGAAGCGAAATTTAGAAAAATGAGGAACACGTTTCTTGTTACTTTATACGGGAATAATTGCTTTCGTTTTCGTGTTAGCAGGGTCACAACATCGTATACGTGCCTTTATATAGAGAAAAGAGTTTCATCTGATAAAGATTATTGTTTAAGTTAAATTTGACAGCTGAGCTGTATACTCTCTTATGTATGTTGACAATCCAAGACAAGAGATTATAAACTGTTCTCATGTCCAAGACCAATTGCATAATTTTGCATTGAATGAAAAGGAAAAAATTAATCATGTACGATTTAAACCATAATGTTATTAAGAGTTCAAAATGAGAGTTTTGAGGGCTTCTGTGATTCAAATTTTTACTTAAAGATCCTGGGTCACAAAATCGGGATCTACAGCTTTAGATGGAATTGAGAGTACCATGAACCCTCACCCTCCCTTCCCATGATCAAGGCAATAAATGACACCCCTATTACGCAAAGCAGGAGAGAATCCTGGGGAGGGTTACAAATGCCCATTTAATTTTATCTTTGATTTTAATATTTTTTTCTTCCCTAGCATGAAGTTGTTGAGAATATTGTCACTTCGGATAAATGTCAGTACCTGAACACTGCGCAACAATCCCTTCCTAAACCCAACATTAATACTAACGTGCTATCATTTGACTGTTTTTGGTTTAGGGGAGGGGTAGGTGTATAGTTTACATCAATTCATTACTTCTAAATAGCTAAGAGGGATGCTGAGAGGCCATTTCAGGTACCCCACACTTATCAAAACTTGTTCAGGTTTCCTTGGCGATTTGCTGGTGCCAAAAACACTCCTGGAAGTGCAAAAGTAGTCAATGAGAAATATTTCCTCATAATTTAAAATCCGGAAATGTTTGGCAGTCGGCAAGGAGGGAAAGTAATCATACTTTAGGCGTAGAATAATAGACAACCTGATATGCAATATCCCAGTTTTGCTCAATGGTAATATGAGCCCCGAAATTCATTTCAAACTTGGAAAAGAATAAGTAAGGATCTGACATATAACTTGCCCACTTCAATATCTGCATCGTATTTTCAGCATGTGTCACCCGATCTTTGATACGGTTCAACATTTGCCCTACTTTTTTATGATAGGTTTTTTATTTTTTTGCTATCATTTTCTAATTCTTACTATTTTCTTGAAGCCTCTGTTACAAGGTAAAGGTATGGTTGAATTCTACGATTACATCCAGCTCCAATTCTACGATCTGTCAGTTCTTGGGTTGCGATAACTCGCCTTTGATAAAAAATCTCAACAAAAGGCAGCAATTACACTTTTTGCACTGGAAAATTATGTTGTCGCGGCCCGATCGTTTGGAGGATAGTCTTTAGTTTTGTCACCTCATATCTCGTTCTTTCTGTAGAATTTTATTAGGTGACCTTTTCATAGAGAAGGTGATGTGATCGTTCCAAACTATGACCGATGGCTGTGACCACCTGTCTCATTTGACAAGTTTTGAATGTATCCACCTGAAAGAAGGCATTCACCTGTTAAATCTTTTTAGGTGATTTTCTGCTTTTAGAATTTCCACTCATCCTGTGGAAGGAAGGCAGGCTTCTCTAGTATTCAAGAAACAATGCAAATCTACCTATTTCTATAAACAATATAAAAAAAAAAGATGTGGAGGGAACTACTCGCAGAATCTATAATAGAACTAAGATAATTTAATTTTAAAATGACATCGGCACGAGTGACCCTCTAAATTTATAACAACGATCACAAAGAAACAAGCAGATCAAAAGAATTAGTTTATATACTAAACCATAACGGTAAAATCACCAAAGGAAAAAAAACAAAAGAAAAAACCAGGTTGACTCTTTTTTCTTGGTTCAATGACCTCATTGTTCAATCGATGAAGGTCATTTTGCTAGAAATTCGCTGCGCATGCGTAACTCTACTTCAGGGCAAATAACGGAATGAACAAAGAATGTTGTTGATTAGATAGTCCGCTCTCATTCTATCAACATTTGGCTTATTGTAAACAAGCCACTAAAGTTAAATCTATTTCCGAAATCCGAACGAATAGGGAACATCGCAACGCCGTAAGTACATTTGATTTGACTTCTTCTGATTTTTTCAGGTAGAAAAATTAACGTCCCTTTTCAAGAAGATTCCACGATGCAAGTTAACCTTTCATGGTCCTTGACCGGCAAAGGAAGCAGGTTGCGTTAACAAAAACATCGACCGGACAGATCTTTTTTCCGGGTCTGATTTTGATATTCACTGAACCCAGGGTAACCGTGCAATAATTGTCAATAAGCCTGGTCTTTGAATGTAAAATAATCATAACGTTCATTGAGATCAGGCTGTGACTTAAAGGTATATCAGAATGAACTAATATAATCATTTCAAACAAAATTATTTTGTTTTGAAGAAAATCTAGTCTCAACAGGTGCGATCATCACAACACAGCACTTTGCTTTCATTAAAAACTCATTTGGTTACAATCAAACAACTTCAGTATCAGTTCTTATGCCAAATGAGGGAACTGCTTCAAATACTAATTATTTATCTGTATGCGAATGAAACACCATTTTTGCTCTTCCAGTATTTTTAACCTATTCCAACTAAACACATATAACAGATTTTTTGGTAGTCGTACATGAACTGTATGGGTTTTTAAGATATTTAGAATCCCTGTTTAATGCGAGAAAAATATCAATTGTTGTTACGAATCCTGTTATTAACTTGCTGCAGATCGCAAAACCGCTTTGAAAATTTTTATGTGAAGTATTCAACGCAAATTGAGTTCGCGGCTCCGATGAAGAAATTGGAAGTGATTGAGGACTTGGCTTTTTTATCGTCTCATTGACGGATCAAACATTCCTTTCGATATATTTTCAATATGATCTTACCTAAACTGGAAAAAAAATCAATTTCAGTTCAAGTCAGGACCATTTGGTGAACAACAAAATCCGTTTTAAATTTCTTTGATGGATTTTTCGTATGAAGTCTTTACATCTGAAGATAAACCTGCTGGAAAATTTCTCCTTTTTCATTTCGTGGCTTTAAAACCTTGTCAGGAGCATTCGTGATGGAAAGCTCATTCATTCTGCTAATAAAAAAGATCACAATTTAGTTTTAGTATAAAACTAAGAATAAACGTGTAGAGGTGGGTTGTCAGGTACCGGTTAAACTCTCCATCGATTCCTGAAGCTTTCTGGTTTGTCAAAGCACCGTGGTGCTTGTGGATCGATTGTTCACATTTGTTCCACAAAAAGGTATCATTTAACGGTAACGCCTGAACAAGGACCAGAGGTCATATCTAACATTTCTGATGATGAAAATCTCTCTGCATCGTAAGCCAACTTATGCCTGAAGTTCTCCTTTTGTTTCCTACAGCAATCTTCAAGCAATGAGGGGCGAGAAGTTCTACGTATGCTGTGCATTACTTTTGTTGGGTTACATTGCTTCTCCAAGCAGTGCGGCATTAAGTAAGTGAGCTTGATTTGGAGACATAGAGGAAAAATAAATCGATTGCAAGAAATCAAAAGTAACTCTTACGAGCAACTAAGGGTCCTGTGACCGTGAAACAGCAATTTTCTCACACAACGCACAAGAAAGATTTTGTTTTCCGAACAATTACTTGTTACAATTTCAATTTCTAGATAACAAACGAAGTCTTAACAGTCTGGCGTTTCAATTGTCTTTAAAGAAGATATGTCGAATAAACTAATGAGTCATAATGGACCGTTAAAATAGCTCTTCAAACTAGTTTTCAAATCTAATTAACTACATGCAACAAACATTGGAAAATTATCTGGACTGATATCTAATAGTTAAACCGCTGACCTTGCTGTTACGGGGCTTGGGAGTATAATAGAAATAATATCGAAATTGAGAATTCAAGAGGAGAGTTGGACAAAAGTTGTCAACCTCAAAACCAACTCGTATAATTAAACAATATACTCTGTTCTTCGGAATGTATTTCAAAAATAACCAAACGAACAAAAATGAGAAATGTAGAAAGCTTCAAAAGGTCAGCTGTAAAAACTTTGAAGCCAGAATATTCCATCGCTGCGTCAAATTGATGATTGCAGACAATAATTTCAAATCATAATCTCTTGTTAAAAACCTAGCGATAGTAGCGATTTGAAAACACAAAATCAAATAATTTATTTAGTTCAGCAAATTTAGTGTCACATGCATGTACATGAATCATATGCCCCTCAGTTGAACGCATTGCGTCGTAGAGTTAAAAATGTAATTAGAACAACCTTGACAAAGGAATGTTCAGGCTAAGATATGAAATACTCGCCTTGGCCGGGAAACAACATCTTGCCATATTAGGTTAGTTACTCTGGATCCAACCTATCATAACTGTAGTGAAATAGATCAGGAAAATAATGTACTTCTTACGTTAAAAGTTCCGCTATGATGTAGAATCCTTGGGTGTTACTAATATGAAATATATATGTTTGAAAATATAGCCCCAGCACCGACAACGAAGCCCGGAAGTACAGGCAAACCCACTGGATCCCCAACGCCACCCAAGCCACCCCCACAGGATCCTAACACGCTGCAGTGTAAGTCGACTGAATTACAGTCAAGATTAACATGTTCGTTATGTTATGTGCATTCCAAACTTCCAGATAACCACTCTAATACCCTGTAAGGTCTCTGAAAATCTTGATTTTAAATTTCTTCCGAGGAAACAGCCCATAAACATGTTCGTTTCCCAGTCTGTGTTTGTTTTTGAATTTATATTTAAGCGTAATTTTTGGAAGTAAAAAATGGAAAGGGTAGTCTAAAATCTGAGGCACTGACTTCCCTCACCGGGAATGATTTTAATGGTGCATGTCTGTAAGTTTTCTAAATTGTAAGGGTTTTGACCCCTATCACGCAATTCATGCATCAAGTCAAATTTACAATGTTTGGTCTCAAAATTTTCCTCCTCGTTGTAGGCACCGTATTTAACCTGACACTGAAGCTGACAAACGCAACTTATGATGAAAGTTTAGCTTCTCCACATTCGCCTCAGTTCATCAAACTTAGAACAGATTTCGAAGTTGGAGTAAGTATTGAAGCAAAGCGAAATGCCATGTTTTGTAGACATGAAATTTGGTGCGATATCTCGTTGAAAATTTATACTTGCTAATGAATATTTTTTTTTAACTTATTAGGTTTTACAAGTTTATGATGGATATAAGCCTTTCCTTGGTGTAACAACTTTGTTATTCAGGTAGCTATGCCTCACATTGTGCTCTAATTTTCAATGAGTTCTAAAATAAGAGTGATCCGGGATAACACAGGATTTGCTTGATTATGCTCTTTTATTGGTTTGGAAAGAGCGCACCACCTTTTCGACCAATCAAATTAAAAAGTAAAAACCAATATGTCACTCAACCCCGTGCTTGAAGAGGTTGTCTGTGTTTATTTAGAGTTTCCAACGGCTTCCTTGATGATTTCCGCTATTAATACGTGTATAGCACACAAAGAAATTTAGTAACATCACCTTTCTTATCCCTATAAAAGCATTTTTAACATAACCTTTACCTTATTTACGATGAAAAAACTAGTTACCACGACATAAAGTAAGGTATGTTTTAGTTCAGTGAGAGATGCTTACTTCCAGTTAAATTAAAAGCAACCAGAATTTCCCCATATAATACTAATATAACAATATAATAATAATATAATAATATAATAACTCTGCCGTGAATATTTCGTCTTCTATGTAAAATCATGATAACCATGAGCAACGTTAGCTAATTTTCGCCTAATATTCTCTAAAACAGCAAAGCCCCAGATGGCAAGACCATTGTACACTTTGTGGTCGAGTTCAAAGACAACGGGACTCATCTTCCAAACCTGACTAAAGCCATAACCGCCGGCAAGCTTGGAAAGCTGACTCCAGTTTCTGTCGCTCCAAAACTTGGTCAGGCAGGTGAGTCATGACACAATTATCCGTTCTTTCTTATTGCGACTGCCTCAGATATGGACAGTTTATCATAGAGTAGTAAGCAAAACAAACCATTATTGAAATTTTTTACTTGTGTGGTCTTTCGACCAAAAATTGTCTTTGTCTGAGATATGTATTGCTATAATTCTGCCGGGGAAAATATCATAAAATTTTCGTAGTATACTTGGGTAAAATTCTAACCTCGCGCTTCCTTACAAAGTTTGAATGTTCTACTTGGTGATACGAAATATTCTCTTCTTTAATAACTTCTATGACGGCTGTTGAAAATACGTATTTAACATTTATGATTTTTCATTCAATATTTAGCATGTTACAAGGAAATACCCCCTGCGATCTGCCAAATTCCATGCCCATCGGCCTGTGCTCCTTCTTGCTACTCCAGCTGCTGCCAGCAGTACCAACAGCCCTACTACTATCCTCAGGCTCCTCCTCCTCCTCCTCCTCCCATGCCGGTCACGTGCCCAAACAACTGCCCCAGTACATGCGCACCTACCGGGTGTACTCCTGCCTGTTGCAACACAGTGTATAACCAGCCTTCTTATTCTTACGGCAAACGTCACCACGCCCCAAGACCAGTTAAAGGAACTAAGAAACACCACATCTTTCGTAAACACCGCAAGCATCACTAAAGAACGTGTGAAATGAAAAGAACAGAAGGAGAGAGGAACGTTGGAGTTTTGTTTTTTTGTTTACTTTCACATGCTCATCTCGGTTCGACGCCTTTTCTGTGTTGCGCAAGGTATCTCTAATGCTCTCATAAAAACAAAAGTTCATTTTAAAGTACATTTACCATCAACAGCGATCAACGAGAGCTAAAGATTCGGAACGTACGAAATCCTACGCTCTAAAACGCCCGTGAGGCACTTCAAAAAGAATGTGAAAATAAAGATAAAGATTGAATTCTTGAATAGTTGTCAGCAGAAATGATTTGAGTTTGATTTCAGCGAAATAGGACATTTTATTTACTTATGGACCGGACATTTACAGAAACCTAATTCAATGAATTATCATCACAAAAAAGGCTTTGTTATTCCAAGGCCCAGAGGGACAGTTTAAGGCCCAGAAGGACAGTTTAGCTTACTTTTATTTTATTGGGGCGTGATATTTTAAATTGTATCATTTGTTTGTTTGTCGGTGAAATGGAAAGTAGTTAAGTTTTCGCTTATCGTAAGCATTGTAAATAAGGCACAGTGACGTCACGACTGAAAATAAACAATTCCAAAATTTCAGGTGTGTTAGAACCTTTTTTATCTATTTACCCCTTTTTCACCCACAAAACAATTGCACTTACGTCTTTTGCTAGATAAGTGCCAAAGTCGTTCGGAAAATTATGTTCCGTGCATCTTCCTAAGCGACACCTTAAAGAGGATAATCTCAAACACATCGACAAGTGAATAAGGGTAATTATTCGAGTTGTGCAAGAAATTGCGCCATCGAATCTAAAAAAAAGATGCAAGTTACATTGGGTGCTGAAATTAACCATATCGTTTTCCCATATCACTCCTTAAAACAAGCTAGAATGGAATATCCTCCCATCTGGCAACTGGGAGAAGATATTCTCAAATGCATTCACAAAATAATTAAAGGGAAATTATTCCAAATGTTTTTGGAAAGTTTTCTCTCTAATGCCGCATTCACACCAAAGCTTAAACATGTTTAAAAGTTGTTTTGTTAAACACAGTTTAATTTTTTTTTTCTTTTTAGAAACTATTTAACCGAATATTTTTGACTTGAATGTAGCACATTGGAAATGCAAGTTAGCAAGTACTTGAATCCAAAGGAAAATCAAGTTTTTCAGTGCTCTGTTTATAATTTTCATTCAATGAAAACCAGTTTAACAAAACATGTTTTGCTGGTGTGAATGGGGTATAAGCCACACAAAACATGGCAATTATGTTGGGTGCTGAGTTTTAACATATCTTTGTTCAATCAGGGTGATATCTCCTCCAATCTGGTTACTTGGGAGGAGATATTCCCTGATACATCATTGACAAATGACTGAGGCAGTAACTCGAAAGACAGAAGCTACGGAAACAGCGAGTGAGCAGTTGGTTGGCAACAATTTTGCATTAAATTTATTGGAAAGTCTGATCAAATAAATGTTCTTATCCTGCATAGTCTTGCATAAATATAAAATTATCTATCATATGGAAGATGGTAAGATTCAGGTTTAGATTAATAACTTTTGCACAGAGCGCCTCAGTATTCGACTCTGTGAACTTAATTGGACAAACAGTGTATGTATTATAATCATCGTATTTTCCTTGTAAGATGGCCTGTTTGAATTGGTGAACAATTATTGAACACTTTTTAAGAAATGAGTGGAAACCCAGGAAAGGCTTTCTGCGAGATTGAATGGCTCAGTACCACTTAGAATACGGAAACGAATGAAAATCATCCGGGACATGCCGAGGTCTACATAGAGACGCAGCGAAACAAGCAGTATGACATTAGTCTTCAAGAGACAGAGAAAATGAAATGTTGATTACATGAGTAATGCTGCCATAGTCATTTTAAAAATTATCGGAGAATCAATTATGATTTTTCTATTCTTAGTTTTCTTGTTAAAGGTAAAATTTTTTTAAACACTTAAGTTGAAAGCTGCATTATCATGCTGGGAATGTACATCAAAAGAAATAATGATCTTTGCCAAAAAAAAAAATTTTTTTTCATGGTTTTCTTTGTCTCTTACTGTAAGACCCTTTGGAATCTCCTTTGGGGCAATTTTTTTCAAGATTTGTTTAATCGTCGTTAAGTTGAGTCTGTTTTGCGATCGAATGGTTTAATTGGCGTTCAACTTGATAGAAAAAAATAGGATGATGGAATAACGAAATGTAAAGCAGAGTAAACAGTATATATATTTTCAAGATATTGAACTTAATATCCCGCAGCAAAATTTTTCAACTTTGGCAAACATCCCCACACACACTCACAAAAAAAATCCAAAGGAAAAATGTTTGATGTGTGTCTTCTCCATTATAAGCAGAATTGAAAAAAATGAAAAAGGTTTAAACAACATATTTGAGGCAAAAGCACTAGAAGATCTACAACTTAGGGAACCAAAGGGTCATTTTCCAAAAGAATGCGTTCTTCATTCAGTAAGCCACCTCGATTACCTTTTAGTAACGTTATTGTAGTCAGTTTTCACCCAACTGGAATCTCTTGATGGCCTTGTGTAGTTGTTGTAAAATTGTAGAAAAACTGCGTTGGAATATAAAAAAATCCTGGAATCTCCTTTGTTCTCAGTCTGAAGTAGAGGGGAAATCACACTGCAAGACTTAGATCTGCATCATACGGGGGCGGTGATGTACGAAATCAAATCCTATTTTCGTTTCCTCGAAGGTAAAATTGCTCTCAAAACTCAGAGCTCCGCGGCAGAATTAGCTATATTCCAGAGACGAGTTGTGACATATCAGAACGAAATGTTTACCTCATGCTCAAAGCGAAATGAAGTCACAGAAGCACATACTTTATTTCATTTTATTCCTTGAGTCAAGTTGGAAGCAAGAAAACTATTTAGAGTTGAACAACAATGATTTTCAGATTGCAGATGAACACAGAGACAGGCTATAAGATATGTCTGCATGTTGCTCTTTAAGTGCTGTTTTATTACACTTTTCAAGCGTAAGAGCATCATTTACCCTAACCTTGACATTACAGATGTATGTGGCCGCCACAGGCATCAAGTTACTTTTCCTTTCAAGGAGTCAAAAAAATTTCGTTGATCAAATAGATAAAAAATGTAATAGACAGTAGAAGCGTTCAACTTCCTATTGCGACAATCTTTTTTTTTTCTCTCTCTTTGATATATTTGATATATAATAACAGATAACGAGAGTGCAATTATACAGTGGCCTCTACAAAAACGACAGGAAACCTGTTTCAGCTGAGACCTTAAAAACTCAATTTACATAACTCTTTTCGGTAGAAAATTCCCTGACTTCAAGTTGACGGCGTAAACCTTTTTTTTTTTTTTTTTTTCGGCTTTTTCCTGACCTGTGACAACCATCATATGCGCACGTTAATTAACTATCTCTAACGATTATGTTGATTGGTTACATGGACAACTATCTTTACACTTTACAAGGGACAAACAGAGTGCCGTACCGGCCTTAACATTAGGAAACTGAAATCAATTATGGTAGAAAATCTTCAACAAATCAGTGTTCTGCGTCACATAAATGACTGAAAAAAAAATAGTAATAATAAAGATAAAAAAAAAAAGAAATGAAAATACATTTCTTTTGAAATCATCCGGCGATAGTTAATTCTCATGACAGTGACTTAGTTACATCATAAATAAAGTGTACTCAAATGGAGGAAAACTGAGATCAACTGATTGAGATAAACAAAGCAAAAACAAAACAAAACACCCACACACAAAAAAAAATAAACAAGAGAAAGAGGGAAGAAAATGAATGTTGCATCATACATCCTCCGGCATTGATAGTAAATTAAATATTCCCGCCCTGATGCATGCATCGTCTACGAAGTTCCGGGTACATTTTAGATCATGGTTGGTGCTCAAACATTGACTGAACCTTTATTGAAAACTTCCATATAATTTCCTTGGCTCTTTTGTTGTCAATGATAATGATTTAAATCTGATAGGGAAATATTAAAATAGAACCACAAAGGGAGCACGTTTGTAACCCTAATTTTTTCCTGTTTTTATCCTTGTTTAGTCTTTGAAATAAAAGAATAAGGCTCATGGTCATTTGGTAGTACTGTGTCTCGCAGCTATCACAAGCTGTTTTATGGTTCATTAAAGAATGAGATCTTTTTAATTTTCTCCATGATCTAATAAACAAAATGATCCAGTAATGCCTGTTTTAAAGAAATTCCTTTTAGAACTATTGGATGGTAAATTTGAGAAATAAATACAAGGGCAAATAATGACAAGATCTAAGCTATATACAATCATACCTTCAATATTTTAAATGTCTCTCGCTTTTTCAACCATAATTTTCGCGTGATCTTAAAATAAATTGATCAAACAATGCATGGAATCACCTTAAAGGCGTTCACCTAAGCCTTACAACAGACAACTTTCTCTTTACTTGGAGTTTCGTAACCTTCCCGAGCTATCCACTTTAGTCTGTCTTTAAAATAAAGTTTTTGCAATTTAATCTTGATAAAATGGTGGCCCTTTTTTCTCAAGTTTAAGCGGAACCAGAAGCTAGCCCTGTCATAATCATGGGTTCCTCTTTGTTCTTTTTGGAGCTCGAAACGACAATCCGGCTTGGCGCCGAGGATTTCCGAACAAAAGATCTAAAGGAGCTCTTGGCAGCTTTACGGTATTCTGTACTCATCAGGCCGAAGATGATGGGATGGGAAGCACTGTTGAAGTACATAAGCCACAACGTGACCGAGTATACAAGATTGGCAGAGAACAGATCGGTAATCTTGGGATTAGCGAGTGCTCTCCAACAGGCCAGGATATTGAAAGGGAACAACGTTACCGTAGCAGTTGTAACAACCACAACAAGCATAACTACAGCTTTCTTTCGGATCTTCAGTGCGTGCGAGCTGATTTGTACCGTGCCGGGTCCATTAAAGTTTCCTTCTTCATTGCTGGATCTACGGTACTGTAATCTCGCCTTAATTCTTTTTATAGTCAGCGCGTGAAGAAACATCATGAACATGAGGGGCGCAAAACGTAGGACAAATACCTGAGCAACAATATAGATTTTACGTGTATCAGGCGACGGCCACTGTTCGAAACACCATTGAACTCCATTGATTTCTTTGACTTTTCTGTAACTGAGATATACCGAGGGTTGGATGATGCCAAGTATCCAAGCGAAAAACACTAAGTAGCGAACTTTGGTTCGTTGAGATCGGAATTGGAATGGAAAATAAACGACCAAAAACTTCTCCACGCTGATCACGAGCAGGGTCAAAATAGCAGCGTTTATAGACATTGTTTGGAGAAAGTTGACAAGTTTGCAGCCGATCGATCCAAAGAGCCAACTCTCCGCGATAAACGCGTCGATTGTGAACACTGGAATGCAGAAGATTGTGATAAGGATGTTCGCGAAACTAAGGCTGAGGAATGAAAAGTTCGTGGAGCTCCGTCGTAGTCGCTTATTACGAATAATTGCCACGAATAAGATGCAGTTTCCAACCAAAGAGGCAATGAAAATCACACTGAAGAAGATAACAATGGCCACTCTTTCACCAGTTGTAAACAGGCATTTTGCCCTTAAGCAGCCAGTGGAGTTTCCAGTCGCATTCATGACTGAGGCAGTTGCAAACCTTGTCAAAGAGATGTAATTCGTCCAATTGCTCGTAAAGACGTTGACGCTGACGGCTTCTCTCAGCAAAGTAACAGCGGATAAGCTTTGGCTGTTTTAATATCCTCGCGAATAAGTAGCAAAGGTTTCAGAGTTTTCGTCTCTTAATTAATGCCTTTTCACTCTCTTATCTCAAAATACCATTAAATCAGGCAGGTGAAGAGATTGATTGATTAGCTGTCCATTATGTTTGCCGCAGGGCCATTTGCACGGGGAAATACACAATGTAATTATTGTCTACCTGTGGTCAAAGGGGAGAAACAAAACTATTTAAGAATCAGCGCATTTGATGGTAAAACATAAACATCTATTCAAATATTACAGCAGGAAACAACAGCTGCGTAATTTAATTAGCTATTTATGTACTTTGTTCATTGTAAAAGTAAAATCAAACTGGAATTGTAATTGGCTAACCGTGGTGCCGTGTGTAAATCAAGCCAATGTTTTACTGCGTCAGTAGCTAGGTTTATGCTTAATAAGTATAAAACATAACCACCCCTGCGCAAAAATCGTACTTAAAATTCTGAAGGTTAACATAAAGAAGGAATTAGGTTTTTACAATGGTCAAATCCATTTTAAAATGAGAAGAAAACAATAAACAAAGAATTTTTACCAGAGCCGGTGATGTGCTTACATGCGGTCTAAAAACTGTGACCTTTGCGTTGGAGCTTATTCTTGCAAGAACAATTCATCACCAGGAGAGATAAGAACGTAAAGAAGCCGAAGGCGTATCAAATTTTTACGATCAAAATAGCAGCTCAAAATAATTCCAGTCTTTCGCGCTTTAAGAAGCGTACTTATTTCAGCCAAGTTGGAATATTCATTGCAAAGGATGAGATATTTTGCTCACGAGATTCTCAGGATATCACGTGAAAGCGCATACGGTTACTCGAAACTAATTCTTCTTGCGCAATCGCTCGAACTGATAGATTAAAAAAAAACATCGTTAGGCGGTGCCATCGAAAACTGTTGATGAAATCTGCATTAAAATCGTGTTCAGAGCTTTTGAATTCGTTGAAGCAACCACTATGTAATTAAATGTGAGTTTTTGCTTCGATTTTTGCTCGAATTGAGATTTGATATTTTCAGTAATCGAGGCCTACATGGGAAGTCTTTGATTACGTGACCTCAAGCGATCTTCGGTGATCTCGGTTTTCAAAAGAAAAATCTGTAAAGTTTATCACACAAGAGAAACGTTCTTTTGATACAATAGCATCACTCGAGTGTCCTGTGAAAATATAGCACCGATAAAATGACCACTACAATATTTTAAAGTGCTATTGCCCCAGAAACGCGGTATTTGCATGCGGAGGAACATAGTCAGACTACGTGATTCGAGTGAACATGCAGCCTGCTGCAAAATTGTCAACGAGGTATTTCGATGAAAACTGAGAGAGGATTATGAAAAGATCAATTTTCACGAGGTCTTAAAGAGCCACTTTACTCAAGAGACATTCTGAGGTTGAAATAACATTCTCTTGAAGATAAAGTGATCGCCTCTGACCCAAACTTCCGGACATTTTTTTTTCAAACATTTAGAAACTTCCACTCCCTTGAGAAAAAAAATGTCCAAATATCGAAGGAAAAAATCTAAATGTATTTTCAGAAATTTTCAGGTTTTACAAAATGTATTCGGGACTCATTTTGAGTAGCTCAGAGCGATGGCCCTCTAAGTCTTAAACAAAAGCAACTTGAATAGCGGTTTTCTATCAAGTGAAAGTATTTTTAGGATTCAAGCTTTCAAGCGACTCAAGATCAATCAAAAAAGTTATCTTCGCAAGCATTAATCATATATGCTTTATGCACGAAGCTTGATGTCCAGAATGTTTTATACCGCCATGGTACTTTCAATAGTCTAAATAGGATTCATTTTTTTAACCAAATGATAAAAGCAAAATAAATTGTGCTCTGTTGCGAAACAAATCGGTGAATCTTATTGTTATTGTTACTATTATCTTTGCATCAGTCTTCGAGATGTGTGGTTTTCGCATTTTTATTCCAATGTTGTAGACAAAGAAGTTGCGACAGAAGCTGCGAATTCTGTAAGCCGTTCCCAAGCAAATTTTTTTCTTCCATTTATTTTTAACAAAATCATCGTTTATGATTTTGGTCGGGTAAAAATAGAATCATCTTCCCCGCTGTGATAACCAATTAAACCGTAGGATTCGCTTCACCTTACCTAAAACAAGTTTTACGTGATCATTTCAATCAAAACGAAGCTGGAAGGAACGCCGGGATATTTTGTTCATCACAGCCTCCTCAAAGCTGTGGGTTTGGTCATAAATTTTCTAATGAACTTTTATGCATAGCGACCTTCCTTTCTTATACTGTTAGGGAAAAGTAAGTTAAGTTTGATTTTGAGTGCCTAGGGTAACTGCAGCGTTATTTGTAAAAAAATTTATATGTTATGTAAGAAGAATTTTTCCTTAATGTACTCAAACGCAGTACATTTTCAGACTCCGTGATTCATGCTTGTTCATGTCTGCGTGATCAAATGCTATTACCTCATTTCAATATGTAAACCATCACTGGTAATCCCTTTTCAAGCTGCATTATTTATTTAGTTCCACAATGATTACGGGGTTTTCACATGGTACCCCTTCATCCGAAACGGACCAGTTTAATCTCGTTTGATCTTGCGTAAATATTCTTAAAAGCAAGCTTGGCTTTTCTTTTACTTACATGTGCAGGTTACGCCCTTTAACTGAATGCAATATGCAACACTTTGCGCCACTAAACAAAAGCAATTCGCTTAGTCTTGCAATGCGTCATAAACACATTCAGTTTTGCACAGGCGTCTCAGACAGATTCCAGACGGAGTAATTTGTGGTTGCGATATACATGCTGAAAGAAGCTTCATCAATAAATAACCCTCTTAATGGCCGATAGTAAATGATGCATTTTGATAACTGATCTGTCTCGATCTCATTCAGCGAAGAAAGGCGATCAATGGCTTCTAACACTCGGGCCTCCATCAAGAAGTTGACCTTTGTTACGCGGTTTCAACTTAACTCCTCCTCCCTCACCTCTAAAAAAGTAACAGACAAATACAACAGGCCTATAAAGGCCCCAAGGAGGGGAAGTTTCTCAAGGAGTCCTTCAGTTAGTCAATGAAATGATCGTGATTAAAAATAAAACAAACAAATAAATGAAATGGATAGCTTCGAATGGAACGCCTACAGAATATACAAAAGAGGGAGGATTTAAAAGACGCAGAACTAATGCAATAAGAGAAATTAATTTAGCCAAGTACTGATATCTTAGCTTTCGGTCCACCCCTCTGTAAGCTTTCAATCATCTTGTACTAAAAAAAAGTCAGTACTTATAACAGGAAATGTTTTGAATATCATATCAAGACGGTTGAGTGCCTGTGTCGTTGAGAGCGATCCTGATTGATCGAATTTGAATTTAATCTTGTTTTTGGTCTTGACATGTCTAAACTCTTTTTCATCTATGAAAATTAGTTGCCACTCTACCAGAGAGGCAACCTTCAGCTGTAATATATTATTTATGCTACTTTTCTCTTGAAAAAAAAACAATTATATGTTGGTCTAGTCAGTACAGAACACAGCTGCAAAGTACAGTATGAGAGGTAGTAGGCAACCCTCCCTAAACGTACTTAAGGCCCATCTCAAGAGTAGCTATTGTATTGCAGCCAAAAGTGTTCTTTTCAACCATTTAACGCGATATCAGAGATGGGGAGTTTCCCCTCTTTGGAAGAGAGAATGCGTAGCTTAAACGATAACAAGAACAGAGAGAGATTGAAAGGACCTCAGTGATAGTTAACCTTCCACTGGGATTCAAGAGCAACAGTAATTGGCATCCTCCATATTCGACAAGAAGTCCTTAAAACATATTCCGGTAAGTGCTTCATGTCAGAGATGGATGGTACGTAATCATGAAAGGATTAACAATTGGTTCTGCTTCAATGTGCATTCATCAAGATATGACTATCAGGAAAGCAAGGAGAGCACGAAAGATGCACAAGAGTTGCCCAAAGGGTAAACTAAGGCAAGTCTAGTTTCTCGAGCGCTTTCCAAATCAAATGCTTCACAGTTTTAAAGGTATACGTCTGCTATGCATCAATCGGGTGATTTAGCAAGAGGACGGGAACGTCATTTCAGAACGAGAAAGCGCGCGGATAGTCTGGACGCGACCTACTTCGACTTCCGGTGTTAGCGTTGCCGCTCTCCCCAACAGGTTCAGGACGTTATTTCGCTGGTTTTCCCGTCGCGATCAAAACGCCTGGGGTTTGCGTAAATTTTGCGCTTATAAACGAGATAATGCTATTTGGAATTATTTCAGAACTCATTTCCAGGATAACCTGGTCCATTTCTTTGTTTTATTCGGTGTATTTGGGAAAATCTACCGCTTCATTTATTCTGGATTCCCGAAAGGAAACAATCGTTGGCAAGCGCCGGATCCAATATTTTAGGGCCCAGTACACTTGTAATTGAGGAAGACCTAAAGCAGCGAAAGAGCTGTTCTTTGTTACTTTTCTTTAATTCTGTATGAAAACTCTAAGAATGGGACGCTGTTAATTTTATCATGAATCAATTCATCAATAAATTAAACTTGCTTCATGTTGAAGTTTATCAAAATGAAATATCACGGTGCTTACCTACTGTATTATTCAGTGTTATTTGTTGCTATCGTCGTTTTTACCGTGATTGAAAACTTTTCTGCAAATTGAAGTCAGAGATGAAAAAAAAATGAGAATAGCTCAGGTTTGCACTTTTTTATGTTTGAAACTTTTGATCAGCGCCGGTGAAAGCTAAGACAAGACAGTCATGCTCTCGCTTCGAAATAAAATGACAATCGACTCGATTTCGGCACGGCTTTCTAAATCGATTAATTTGATTCAGTCTTGAACGACTTATTCGTTTAAAAAAATTAAACAAAAACGAGAAAAAAAAAGAAACAAATAGGAACAAAGTCTTATT